AGAGAAAGTTGAAAAAAAGATATCTGGAAGAGATACCACACTAGGTAGTATAAGATAATTCAGCATTAATGAAGCTACGGAAGCATGAGAAAAGCCTTTAGTCATGCTCACTCGTTTCCTCGATCGAAGTCGTTGAGAATGGTTGATGGCATTCCACTATTCACGAAGGGCGTGCGAAGAACAAGCAGCAACTGAATATTTCAAACAAATGCTGGCAAAGTAGAAAAAGTTCGCTGTGCGCTGAAGCAAGGCCCTTGCTCGCTCACTATCTAACCGCCTGCTGCCAAGCCAGGTAGCTTAATTGTTTAAGTTCTAAACGTTCTGCACCCCTAATAAGTGAAGCTGGCTGCAAAAAAAAAAAAAAACTAAAACACTAGGACGAAATAATTTCAATACCCTAGAATTTTTAAAGCAATGCAATTTGGTTGTACGAATTAGAAATTTGCATGAATCAGCTGTGGCTTGAAACTGAACATGGCACATTGTGTGAAGTAGCTAAGTGCCAAAGCATAGCACCGTTATGACAGATAAGCCTGATAAGACTGATAAGAAGTGCTTCAAGAGCAACCATATTTACCAAGATGATAGATCTAAATATGTTCTGGCATTAGATGTTCTTTAATGCTTGAGTTCTCGTTAGATAGACCATACTTCTTTGTATTGACGCAAGTTCTTCGCTACTTTGGCTCTTACAGGTAGTGACCAAAGGTAGCTCTGTCAATGACCTATTTCCCAGAAAATGTGTTAATTAGAAAATATATATTTCAATGGTTCAATATTTAGCCAGGTTTCTAAATCTAAATATCACTGAGACCAAAAAAACGAAAGGCTGGTTAAATTATCTTACCCTCCTTCTAAATGATTTACAATAATTAGCTGCATTTAACTGCCCAAGTGCATAGTAGTTCAAAACACCGAAGTTGAATCTGGTGATTGTTTACCTCTAATTGTATGTAACGTAGTTTTATGTACAAGTAAATTGGCTTTTTTAGCCATAGCAGGATAATGTATTCAGTTGTCATCTCACATCTTATACGCGAACATTCTCTACAAGCAGTCGTTTTCTCGAACGTCCTGTATCGCTAAAACATTCCAGAAAGCGAGGACGTAATTTTCCACTTCTTTTCTAAAGAATACAGGTGCAACTGGAGGCTGACTGGATGCCTTGGAGTAAGTTGCAATAGCGCAAGGTGCAGTGGCGTTGTTTGTTGGGAAGGAAGCTGTATCTCTCAGTGGCAATGATTAATTGATTATTAACAATTACTGGCAATTATTGCAAGTCCTTAGCTGCTATCACCTAGCTGTTGACAACATGCTGAATTGTTGGCTGTGAGCTGGAGAGAAGCACATTACTAGCGACTGAGCTTCGCATGGCTGTTACGATGAAGCATGTGTGCGCAATTACGAATTATTCATAAAATATGTGAAAAGATAACAAGGTAACTAGCAAGCTTACATGTGTGTCAGACTAGTGAGCGGCAAAGACCTTGCAGTGGCACAACAATAAAGCAAAAAATAAAGAAAAACGCACAAAGAACAAGCACACATCAGCAGCAACAAAAGCCAAGCAGCAATTGGTAGGAAATGTGACAACACTTCGAACAAACAAGAACAATAATAAAATTACGGCACAGCTTGACAAGTTCATGAACACATGACAAGGACTCGTGCAGTACTGTATTTACTTGAAAAATTTTTGAATTAGGCTTGTTATGCAGCCTATTCAGCAAACTATTAGCGGAGATTAGACAAGCACTTGACAGTAGTACTCCCGAGACATAAAAAATCTAACTTGTCGTAGATGGTCTAGTAACATCGAGATATAATACAGGCACTATAAATGCAATTAGTCCACACTAGAACGGTCTCCAAAAGAAAGAAAGGGTGCCAGCGTCAGCACTGAACTATTCGGTGGAAACATGCTACCGACCATAACACCTAGGTCGTGGTTCGACCTATTAACCCTTTGATGGTCACTGTTCATATGACAAAGCAGTCTCCAAATGTTGCAGGCTTAAATAACTAAAGTGCACTTTGAAAGTCCAAGTATTTGAGCAAGATCTGAGACGAGGTGATCATTAAATAGTGCTGTCATCTATAAAGAAAAGTTGATAGATTTGAATATTATGCTTCTGTTTTTGGGCACACTAACTTTTAGTGCAACAAGACTAATTTTCTGTTGGTCCTTATTTTCACACCATAGGCATCCAGATCAACCTTATACATGGCAATACAGCTAAATCATGTCCAATAGCTTATTAGTAACAACTAGGAAGGGGAGCAGCAAGTATTTATCTATGTTGTTGCAAAAGCGTAGCATCACCAACATTTCTTATGAATAAATCGCTTCCAACATCAATAGCAATAGATTTTAGAAGAGTAATAAACTTTATACGTATAACTTCAAAAAGCCTCAGTTTGCACTATTTCGTGTACACTAACACCAATTATCAGCAAAACAAACTTGCAACTAATTATGTGCTTATAGCACACCTCAACAGATGCAAAGCAGGACTGAGACGATGGGACCTTGCTACCGAACAAATTGTCAGAAATCCACTCCAACACAAAGTTACTCTTAAGAATGGTACAATAAATATTATCTTAAGTTCTTAGTTTAACACTTTTATGATGAAAAAATAGAACACAATGCAAGACATAAATATAGAGGGAGCTGCTTTTTCAAGTCAATATGTATTTCTCGAAGGGTTAGGAGACCTCTCTAGCATGAAACAGTGGCCTGAACAGAAGTAATTTTTAGTACTAGACAAAAATAAGGCAATATTCAATTTAAACGAACTATTAAATCTATTTCAAGCCTTGAAGTTAATGCTGTTAAAAGACATAATTAGAGGTAAATACAGTAGTTGAAAGACGACGGGTAAACACCGGAAAAGGGGGCAAGCGAACACAATGGTCTAGTAGTACTGGCACACTTAAGACAAATAATCAATGATGCAACTACAAATCATTCAGGTCTATGGGAACAGCGCTACGGTAACTAGCATTCGTGGGCTACAGCTCAAAGCAGAACCTAAGGGGCGGCATCCAATGGCAGTTACAACTACAAAAGCCAAACTGAAACACTATTTCAGTCAATAAAAGCACCCAGGGCCACATCGTTCGTTATATCCAAAAAAGTTCCAAGATTCCAAAACATTTGAAAAACAGGTTAAGAACATTCGAGTAAAGATACATTACAATTCTAAAAAATATAAGATTATAAGATAGGTTAACATACATTACGACTAACAATATATAAATATTCTAAAAATATAAGATTGCTTGTTAATTTCGCCCTTAAATGTTCCCTCATTGCGAGGAAACATTTAGGGTTAAAACTCCATGATGCCATCATCTTCAGCTTATGGCTCTCACAGAGGTTTCAACTTACTTTTCAGGATATAATTTTTTTACAATTGTCCGTTCAATGTCCACAAGCAAACTAGCACACTGTGGAAGCCCAATGGCTATGGGGGGTGTGGACAGTTTCACATTAATTTCAACTACAATTGGCTCTATGAACAAGCACCTAATAATAAGGTTACAACTGTTAGTGCATTGAATTAAACAACTACTAACAATTAGGGAAAAAAAAAAGAGAATTCTGGACTTTACCACATGAAAGTGAATACAATAATGAGAGGCATGATTATGAAGCACACGTGATTATAAGGCTGTTACGGAGTATCCTGAAATTACAGTGACCTCAAACCATAAGGCACAGAAGCAAAAGAAAAAACAAATTTCAAACTTATAAGCAAATGAGAAAACCGGCAGCCACAATGAAGCATTTAATTGATTAATAAACTATTACTGGTCATTATTGCAAGTTCATAGCTGCCACCACTTAGATGTTTACAACATGCTAATAGATGCCAACATAGTCATGCTGATGTCATTCTGATGTGACCCCAGGTGCTCTTCAGCTTCCACATGCTGTGGGGATCAACTATGGCCGTGAGAATACGAGGCTGCGTGCTGGGAGCTCTGCAATGTTGCAGTTACCAGCGAGGACCGAGCTGCAAGCGTACCTTGTCCACCTGGGTACATATCTGAAGACTCGGCCCAGTTCTTCAGCCTGCACCCGGCCCGCTGGCGTCAGCTCACCTCCCCACTTCAGAATGAGCACCAGCGAGGGTTCCCTAGGGTAGTCTGAGGAGGAACAATGCACTCACCAACAGGCAAAAATTGCAAGCAAAAATAAATGAAGGTGAACCGTAACTATCCGTGTAAGTTACAGTGTGTCTCGCCAACTACTGCTTAGTGCAGCGAGTGACGCGAGTTGCATCAGTCAAGCATGAAAAAGGACCAAAAAAAGGGTGCCCTATTGGGTGCCGCTATTGAACGCCCTCTGAATATAGGTGTACGAAAATGCTTAGTAGCACACCATGTTTCAGCCTTCCCTTTTCCAAAACATGCAGCCAGATATTATCATTCAGTGGCTGACGTGAACCTTTACTGCACTGCGATTCAATGGCTGACGTGATCCTTTACTGCACTGCACAGAAGTAACAAGGATACTTGCAGAATACAGTAATGATAAATGCATAATTTTGCAAGCTGGAGGGTTTATAACTACACAAATACGTGAGGGAGCAAAATAATGTCGGGCTAGTGCAAAACACGTTCGAATGAAAGCGAGTGTCAAGTTGCAACAACTGTACACTTAATGCACTTTTAAGCAGTTGTAAAGTATGAAAATATATGAGATTGGCAATGATGCCCACGAGGCCCTCTTTAAGAGATTTGTAAGTATTGCTCAGCCTACCCTATGACAGCCATGATGACATTCTGGCCACAATTCTCCAGTGTTATTGTGCATGTACATATTTTAATCAAGCAGGTTTGCACTCCTTAACATTGATCAGCAGTTTGTAGACCATGAGCCTGTAATTATCGCCCTGGTTGCAGAGCCTTGCCGATTGACGCTCATTTGTCAAGTGTCAATAATTGGATATTAATATCTGTACACTAGTGCAGGAAAACTTCAAATTACCCAAGAAAAGAAATGGAATTCTTGGATGAAAGCATAACATTGTTAACTTGAGTAAGGTTCATTGCTGAACACTGTCGGACCCTTAACATAATGAAAACAGTTATAAATTGTTGAACATAGTGAAGAAATTGTGAGTTTTTGCCAATATAAGTCTGCTGTGGGTACGCGTTTCTAGAGAAACAAAAGGTATGAAGCACTTCTGCATCAGATGCAGCTTCATCTGTAACGACAGGCTTGACAGCTGTCCGCTTTGTATATAGGCTTGCCTTCGTCGCTGCTTGAATGCCGTGGCCTTCCTTTGGGCTGGTATTTCAGCTGCACCTTACGGTTGATGCCAGAAAAATGTCCGTACCTGCGTGCATTAAATTCGGGCCAGGAGAACATACATTAGAAGCATCAGTGGACTACAGCAGGGGCGGATCCAGCTACTCATTTTAGGGGGGAGGGGGAGCGGTCGCCTGAAGTAATAGTAGAGAGGGGGCGTGGTCATGACTTGTTCTTCTTTCTAGCAGAAATACCCCTTTATAGCATAAATACTGTTAATGTGTGCTCAGTGTTTCCCTCATTAGTGCTAATTGGCGAGTGGAGGTAGACGACAAGCACAGAAGTGAGAGGGAGGGGTGCTGACTCAGACATTTGGGCTACCGTCCCCCTTCTCGATCCACCAATGTACTACAGTCAGTTACAACTTTAAAAATCCAGAACTTTCACCTCAAAAGCAAATGCACACAGGCCTGCACAAATGGGCACGCACTCCCCACAGCCGTCACGAGATGGACGGAGGGCGACTCCTCCTTCGGAGAACATTGCCGAGTGTGTGAGCAGGACAATTTTTCTCAATCCCGAAGGTGGTTGGCTGCCGCGCTTTGATCGCCTGGGCGGGGGGGGCCTTTCCGAACTTTTCCAAGTTTTATCTGACAATACACTTTAACCTCATTAGAACAAAATTGCGTCTCACAGGAAAACAATTTCGTTATATCTGAAAATACATTATAAAAGGCTATTCCCAACACTGTTTATTGCAAGACTATTTTTCATTTGCTTCGTTGCAACGGACATTTCTTTATATTCATGTTCGTTACATCGAGGCTTTAGTGTAGTAACAACACCAATCAAAATATAAACCCTTACATTTCAAGAACAGATTTCAGCTGCTCCAGCTTCACTTTGTTTTCTTCGACTTCAGGATCAGACTTGTGTTCAATTTCACTGAGAAGAAAGCGTGATATGTCCAAGATCTCCTGCAAGGTTTAGGAAGACAGACAAACGTTTATTTGGATGCCATGTCTTTAGCAGAAAAAAGCACAGAATCTAAAAAAAAGGTGGCATGTGGCAATGCCTCTGCCAACCAATAAGGGCTGTACAAGTAGATTACTCTTAAAGGACACTCAACATTTAATCAATAGAAAAAGATTATCGACAGTGTAAATTAGAATAGAAAGTCAATATTATTTTCTTTTCTCCTTCTAAGTTTATCGCATGTCTGAACCTCGGAACAAACGAGGTCAATTGCTTACGTCACATATTTTATCATTCCTTCGAAGAATCAGGTCATTTTTCTGAAGAAAAGAAAAACATACAATTGTGTAATGAACCTTGCTTTGATTTTTGAATTCAGTGCGATTACTTGAACGTACAACTTGATGAATTAGCTTCTTTCAACTCCTCCCACAAGATTTCCAACCTCTTCTCGCTATCCCTCTTCACTTCAAAAATTAAACTGCTTTGTGGCTTTCACAAAAGTTAGTGTAGTAGCTTCCCAGTCTAGCAGTAAGAAACCTATACGCAGCAGACATAGCATGAAGGCACACACAGAGGACATTTTAATAGGAACATTAGGGAAGAGGCAGTTCAGTTAGCTTTATGAAAACTGGCTTGCCTACCACTATGTGAACAAAACTGCTATTGAGAAGATGCACTGCCAAAGGCAGAGAGGTAAACCTTCTGCTAGCCATGGGGACGTATAACTGCTGTGGAAAGGCTCATGATGCCGACGACAGAGAGCAGGGTAACTATCTTAAAAAAATAGAAACACAAGATGTTCAAGGCAATTGATGAGTACTTACGCATTCCCTATGAGGAGACACTGCTAGCCTTTCATTTTATCCAATTATTTAAGTTATATATAATCGGTGGTTATATCCATTTTCAATACAGAGCATGGTACTCTGCATGTGAAGCAGAGCGATCGGCCTTTCAATTTGATCCTATTTTGAGAATAACCGAATTTGCACTTCCGTTAAAAGCAACTTGCTGGCACTCTCTAAGAGAGGACTGCCAATATAAGTAACCATTTTCTAAGCATCCTTCAAAAGGGCATTTAATAGCAAGCTTACTTCACTTGTATTGATAGATCACATTTCCACAATATTAGGAAAAGCTGCTTTTTCTACAAAACAGGCTTGGGATGCAAGGAAGTACTCAAAAACAAAACGCTAGTGAAGCCACCTTGAAGCTCTCGCATCAGCTTGTCATGACTATTTGTGGATGGCATCTTATGAAGCTTAGACCAGTTTTTGATGGTGCAAACATACTATGTAGTATAAAAAAAGCCAATGAATTAACATAGCATGATGAAAGAATTTTCACTAAGCAACAATAGAGCAAGTAGTAAAATTATGCACTAAAGTGCTGTCAATGAGATCTATGGTAAATTTTAAAAACAGAAACATTGGTCTAATAATTTACTTTTCAAATAATGTATAATTGTAAAATCAACAAAAAGACAGTATGGAAAGTGTGTTTCATTGGCCTAATTTAATTTAGAGTTTTTTATTTTTAACTTGCCTTAAAAGTAAATTTGTAAATATTGTTATTTCTAAAGAGAAATAAAGTATGCCACATGCCTGCAGCTGCTTTGGCTTCTTTAATTTGATGTGGCCATCCTTGAAGCCTCCGTAATGCTCAAAAAGCTCAAAGAACCTGTAAAAACAAAAGACTTGACACTGGTACGGCACTGGGCACAAAATGAAGAACACGAACTGATAAGAATGCGCTTACTTTGGGTGCTTCACCTCCATTTTCATCTTTTGCTTAGGCGTGCGATCCCCATGACGAATGACAGCAATGACACATCTCAGTTCCATCCTGGAGAGCAGAGAAGATTTGCAAATCTGTAAAACGTTTCCACACAGAGCACTGGGCCAAAACCCCCATGTGCTCAATAACACTATACACATTACCTAGGCGAATTCAAGCAGAGAATGTGACTTTAAGCATCCAAGCTCAGGGCGTGAAAATCTCATCAGATGTGACTTCATTGGAGTGATAATGCATTTAGTTTACACAATTTTCATGGTAAACCGGTGTACTTCTGTCTCTCTAATACCGTAGCTGTGGATCAAGCGTGCCGTATCTCGTATTGATGTTTTACTAAAAGTTTCCCAAACTCCCCGTCTCCCCTATACTCATGTTTTTTTTTTTTCAATGTTTGTTTCAAAATAGTGGTTTCACCACGCAGCCACTGTCTCGGTAATTCTGCACCAGTCTGTCTGTCCACTTTGGCCACACCATAAAAAAAGGAGAACACAGTCTACCATTTAATTTCCTTGCAAGAAATGTGCTGAAGACTTTAGAAGCATTCAGCATTTCTTTTCATTTGCCCACGTCAAATGGTTTGAATGGAACTCCCCCCCCCCCCCTTCAAATGTTCAGAAACAATGTACGCAATAACAACAGTTTCTACCGTTCCTAGTGCTAAAACATCTGGAAGCATGGCAGAGACAATACCATTATATACATCACACATAAGCAATGTAAGGGAAATTAAACACTACACTTGTGCTGCTTAACACGTCCACAAATGTTACACAATAGAAGCCTTCTTTCTTGCACAGCTATACCACTATGCGACTGAGCTCACTGCTTTTGTAGGGCGGCGATGTACCTAGTGTTATGTTTTGAGCTGCTATTGAAACGCAATCCTAGGAAGCTTCATTTTTCGTCAGATTAGATCTTCAAGTGTGATGCAGCATAATATCTTGAGAGCTTGTCCGATTTCACAAGTATGCAAAAATGTTCACACCAGATCAGCAAAACCAGATATTTCTTGATGTGCTGCTGGCAGTGAACAGCAGTGCAAAAGCTTCACATCTTACACAGGCCCTTCAAAAAAATAAACACTTCATGACTTTCGTAGACACAAGTGTTATCGTTACCATGTAACCAATTTTACAACTAGTGCTGATGTATAGCCGACATAAAGATCATTCTGATTGTCAACTTTGGCGTCCCTTTGAGCGATTTCACTTTGTCGAACATAGCATCACTTTCACACCTGTTCTTAAATGGCAAAACGAGGCTTTATTTTTTATGACTGATGACAATGGCGATCCATGAAACCATTGGCCTTAGCCTGACTCTCATTATTTAGTTTATTGTAAAACAAACTGTGCTTTCTTACTATGAACGGAGATACCTATTTACAAGACCACTTGAACTAAAGAAAAGAAGTGCCAAATCTTTAACATGCCTGTGCCAGTACACGCTATGATCATATCCGAATTCCCAACAGAATAATAGACTTTTTCTTGGTAAATGTTACAATGGCAAGTCTGGCAAATTGGAAAGTTAAGTACTCAGATAAATGAGCAATGCAGCATGAACAAAGAACCAATAATTGGCCCTTAATCATCCAACTCTTCGCCTCTCCTCAGTGCCGCGGTGCACACTTCACAAAATATGGACATTTTCTAAACACACACTTTTGAACCGGTTTTGCTTGCTTAAACGCAAAAACGAAATGCTTAAAATATTTGAAATCGAAAACAAGAAAAGTGGCTTCACAATTGGAGTTGACTTGGTATGGAGTAACCTTTTATTTACAGAGAACCGTTGTCGAGACTATACACTTGATGTGGCACGCATCACTGCACTTGGCAAGTGTACTCTGCAGCAAGTATTGCTGACATTTTCAGTCAAAAGCTTGTAAATGATACTAACAGCGAGTGCATTGGCACAATGACATCGAATTTGTGTATCTAACTGTGGTTAAGGGGACAGACTGGTCTTTGGGACCAAAAATGACAAAAAAATTCATTTTTTAAAGTTAACATATTTGGTTTTTGCAAGAATTTCTCTATCTCTCTGCAAATTTTCACACACCAGGAAGTGGTAAATTTTTTGTAATGCCATTCTAACAGTCCAGATTCTTGGTGCTGTTAACATGCAGAACCTGCAAAAAAATGTGGAACCGACTTCGAGGCTTCTTTATAATTTGCCGGCACCTCTGTTAGAACCTCCGCTATGAATTTATGAGCACCTTTATAAGGATTGCAAAACATGCACACCATGATTGTTGTTTTTTGAAGCTATGTGTTTTCAGTTTTTCCCATTTTTCTCAAGAAAAAAAATTAGAACCGTTATATTTTGAGGCCTCAATATCTCTGCAGCTAGGGCAGGTACAACAATAATTCTTTTTGCAATAGAAACCTGAATGTGTGTAAAATACAAGTATGGGAGCAGAATTTAGAGCACAAGCCTCTTTATTTACTTACTCATCAAAATTGTAACACAATTGGTTTATATGTGGGGTTTAACGTCCCAAACCACCATATGATTAAGAGAGACGCCGTAGTTGAGGGCTCCGGAAATTTCGACCACCTGAGGTTCTTTAACCTGCACCCAAATCTGAGCACACGGGCCCACAACATTTCCGCCTCCATTAGAAATGCAGCCGCGCACAGACGGGATTCGATCCCACGACCTGCGGATCAGCAGCCGAGTACCTTAGTCACTAGACCACTGCGGCGGGGCGTAACACAATTCCAACTGCTTTGAAAATGGATTGTTCATTTTGTTGTAAAATAACCAAGAAAGGCCTAAAAACAAAAAAAGAAAAAACTTTTGCATACTTCCAATCTATAGTCATCTATAGTCATCTATAGTCATCAGTCTATGTTGGCATATCTTAAATATCACTTTTAATTAGGCACTTTCTATGGCGGCCTTAAACAATAGGGGGTGAACTTGCATTATCTCTGGAACAAGATAAGTTACAGGAAAATTAACTAAATATTTTAAATCAGCAGAAAAGACTGCATAACCCTGTGCAGTTGATCAAGATCATTGAAGAAATAAACAAAAAGATGTCTAAGACCAGTCTGCCCCTTTAAAGCAGAATAATAACTGTTGGGGTTTAATACGCAAAAATCACGGTATAACTGACAGTTGCCAGAGCAGCTGGCTCTGGATATTACCTAGAATTCTTTAACATTAAACTAAATCTAAGTACATTGACCTGTAGTATTTCATCTCCATCAAAATGAGGCTACAGCGACATGGATTCGACCTCTCGACCTTTGGGTCACTAGTCGAGCACTATAACCACTAGCCATCGCAGCGGGTACAGTGCAAGGCAGAAGCCAAGACAAGAAGGGCACACACATTTTCCCGAAGGTAGTGGGCACGATTGGAGGATCGTCCAGCTGGAAAGGCATGGACCAGGGGATGTGGAGCTGTGGGGCCAGCTCCCGCAGAATCATGTTGCCCAAGATCTTGGCACAGTCGTCGTAGTACTTCATCGAGTTCTTCACAAAGCTGAAGCCATTCACGTCGCACACATACGACTTGCCGTTGGCCCTCAGCAGGTCAAAGCCGCAGACAGTTTGCTGCAACAATGTTTCGACAGAGGACTCGAACACAGCGGGCAACAATAGAAACACAAAGACTATTAAAACACAAAGAAGACTATGAAGAAGCTTTACAACTTTGTTAGCAACGACCTCTAAAAGCCATCAAATTGCCACACAGGTTAGGTACAAATCTTAGTTGTGGCTCTACTGCGACACAACTTGCGATGTGAGGCCACAAAACCATGCTTGAACTGAGAGGGCCAACAATTTAATACTTAGATCTGACACTTAGATCTTTTACGTTATGGCGTGAGTACACAACACGTACATTTGACTGCAAAACTTTATGGACAAGTGAGTGCATGCCACACTGCCTGTCTCTGCCGTCTACCGTCGATCGCAGAGCTTTGCCAGAGACTGGTCTTCTTGTTAGTCACTGGTACAGTTGAGCCCCTTTATAAGACATTGATGTAAGAGAAAAATCGGTATAAAAGACACCTGTGTGCGTATACTGAAATAGGGGTGGATAAGAGAAGGCATGGATGGTACCCTACCTATAAGAGACGCCTCATACAAAAGACAAAAATAGCTGTCTCTTTTGAAGGGGTTCAAGTGTATAGTATCAGTTTTGTACAGTGACAAAGAACACTGTTCGTCATTTTCACCCAAAGCACTTATTATCTGCAATATGAGCACCACACTTCCACTTTGATAGCAGAATTATTACTACGACAGCTCGCTTTGAATGGTGTGCTGTTCAAGAGATAACACTTCGCATGAAAGATAGCGACTGGTCACAGTTGTGCTTATAGTGTGTTCAAAAGATATAAGTACATAGCCGCGGCTACTGAAGAGGGCATCATGTCAAGAAGTTGAAGGCGAAAGATATTTGTGCCAAGTGGGAAAATAGTCAGGCCATCGATATAGAGAGATGTGGATTTCGGGCCCAGCGCTGCTGTTGATTACCACTGACATAGTGAAAGTGTCAAGAACAGGCTCTTGGTAATGCACTCGTGTGGTCTGTAAACTTTTGTGGTTGACTGTACTTGGAGCAGACAACAGTAAAATAGCTGCAGTTTGGCAGCTAGACATTCCCAGTCCTGGTTATAAAAGCAACACTAAAAACAAGCAACACGAAAGCACTCAAAACCAAAGCTTTTCATAAAGCAAAACTTGGCAAGCTTTTCTGTAACTTTTACGGCTCTTGGGCACATTTTACCGAGTGGACTACCAGTGATTTTATTTTTCTCCTTTTCAGACCAATGTAACAGTGGTTGTGAGCACAGGCACAAAATAGATTCTATCTGCTGAAACGTATAGTTAGGAGGACCGAAAATATTTAGAGACCAAGTAGGAAGACAGCATGACCAAAACACCAGGCAACTGTTGCAGTATTACCTTAAAGGCCAGGCAGACCTTGCGAGCAATCAGCTTCTCAGTGTTGGTCAAGATGACAGGGTAGCGCACTTCTTTGCCTTCCTTGTCACGCTCCACTTTCCCGTCCAGCGCAGGGGACTTGCGTGCCTCTGCGTGCGCATAGTCTGGCCCAACTGTGTACACCTGGAATGTTGTATGTAGTTCACAAGGTGTAGCATGACAAAGCAGTAAGAACACGGCAGCGCCTGATTTGCACAGCTGTTATTGGTCCTATCATGGATTACTGGCATGGAATACTGGCCGGACGATTGCCGAGCGGCATTCATCAAGTAGTAATGCAGCGTAAACTGAATGTGATAAAAGCCGTTACCTTGACATCGGTGCCATCAGTGGGCATGAACTCTTCATAGATGAACGATCCAGTCTTCCTCACTCTACTCTCCGGGGAGTAGACGCTGCTCCTGCTACCAATCTTAAAAGCAAAGAAAAATTATTGAGGATATTCTGATCAGAGAAATGCATACACATACCATACTAGTTTTCTTACAACATACTTAGCACTGTATTTACTCTATTGTAATGCAACCATGACTGTATCACGACGGGTAAAATTTCCGCAAGAGAACAATTATACAAAAATAAAGGAATGATGCAATTGCAATTTCGAAACACTTGAATTTTAGTATTCAATCGTAAAGCGAGGGTCAACTTCAGATAGCAAAAACCTGAAGAAAAAAAAACCTCACTTCACACATTAGTAAACACAGCAAAGTGTTCAGAAAAGGCACCATCGAATATTCCAGGTACAGCTAATTAATAAATTGAACTGGAATTCTGTTGATTAGGTTCAATACTGCTAGACTATCAAGAGTCTAGGCATATCGATGCAACACAAACATGCAGTATGATTCGAGTACATTGGTTCACAAGGTTCACCGTTATTCTCTTGCAATCAAAAACACTGCAGAGGCTGTTTCAATATTCAAATGTCTATAGGTTAAAGGACAGAAAAATTTGAGGTAATGTACACAATTCTGACGGCAAACCGATGAAAACGCACTTCTCCCTTTGAGAATGGTAACGTATATATGTTTCCATGACATGATTGTAGATGAAAACCATTGCTTACTTAAACATAAAAATTATACAGCCGTGCATGAAACAGAATTATCTGCTCGTGAAGCATTGGCCAGACAATGAGACTCACTTTGCGAAAAAGGCGCTGGCTGCCTCCTCCCGCACTTGTTGGGTAGTAAATGTATATGTTGTGATCTTCGGCTGAAATGGGCTTTTCCACAAAGGGCTTGTTGAAAGTCACTCCGTTCACTTCAACGTGATCTTCACCCTCAACAAGTTCGCGTTCTGAATAGTGAGAGAGAAAGAACACAATCAATAGTTTAGAATGAAGGAGGAGTATTTTTTTTTACCTTTCGTCAATGCAGCAATAATGACAAGTTAGCTGTTAGGCCAGTTGATACACGGTGTTAAAAGAAAAATGGTGAGAAAAACGGGATTGACAGTGCTGTTCATTTCTCTTTGTGTTGTTCTTGTTATAAAACGTGCACTGATTGTTTTTTAAATCATCAACACACTTACAGGCTTGTAGAGTATAAAAAACAGAGTGAAAAGACTAAAATAGAGCTGGCATACTTACCCAGTTTCCCTGCTTAGAATAACCACATAGAGCCGTAGTGTCATCGGAATAACGACATGGGACAGTCATATTACATTTACTTGTACAGGTGAGCCCACTGTTAGAAATATAACACAGCGCACATGGCCATGCTCCTAGGATCACCAAGCAGGTGCTGTGTGCGAAGTATTGCGGCTCAAGCACAATCAGTGCCAGAGCTCGAGTTAGCAGCGCATCGTCTACTACAGTTCGTCCCACTTCCACCAACATGCTGTGGTCAAGCGCGCACACAACCTAGGTTTCGCCCGTTGTGCCTAAGTTGGCACGCAGCTAACTTCACCTCTGGCAGCGATTGCGCTTGCGCTGCAAAACTTTGCACGGCGCCCATTGCAGCACTCCATGCAAGATGGCCACCCTTTCCATGTTACCTCTAACAGCCTGTACTACTATGAATTGAATACAAAACAACTGACCTGGGCATTGAAAAAGTGCACACAGCACTGAACCAGAAAGTGACAAAGACACCAATATCAACAAGAACGTACGTCTTTCATCCGCTGATTCTCTGTCGAGGACTGCATATCTCGGCAATTCAATGCCAGCACCTTCAAGAATGCTGTACACTTTTCTCCTGCGTGAACAAAAACAAACCTCATCAGTAATGGCGCATTACTGTTTGAATACAGAAGCTCAAAAAATATACTAGGAACCAGAAGGGATGCTGTTATTAAAATATTTTTTCTGGCAGTACTTCAATTTCTACAAACGGTGTTGAACAACTTTCTTCATTGGTCTTCTCAATGTTTTTACAACATAACTAAGTGGCATACCTGTAGATGAGCACGTCCTAGAAAATTGCAGTTGGCTACTCAGAACTTCTTAATAGCCAACTGCAAGTTTCGATGCACAATACAGCATGCTTAAACAACAAGAGTATCTATATAATTGTTAGGTCTGCCAAGTTTCTTTCATTGCTTCACTTTTTTTTACATAAATTTTGGCCAAAAAATTGAGAGCCTGCCCCCCCCCCCCCCTTTTTTTTTCAAAATTAAGACTACAAAATCAAAGTTTAGCCGAGTACGTACCTGTCTTGGATGTCATATTGCATGAAAAGATCGTTGACAATGAAAGGATTTCTGAGCTCAGAATATTCAATGGCCTTGTTCAGGGGAAACCCTTTAGAATGAAAGGACACGAGGCAGTCGCATAAGGGCCACTCTTCAACTGGTTCCTGCGAGAATATAACAGAAACCACACATTAGCAAGTTGTTCTCTCAAAATTAACTCACTTGAACACAAGAAGTCACTGCTACATGCAGACTTTTCTTTCAGCTGCTCTAATAGAGTGCTTAACAAAAGTAAAAAAGAAAAACTATTACTAAATTACTATTTTAACATACGGGAGAACTACAATCGTTCAAGTGCCCAAACTCGGCCATCAGGATGTCGTAAGTCACTGAGAATATACCAGCGAGAAACACTTATGCGTAGCCACAAAATAACTTCTCGTAGTTCCCGGCCCTAAAGGACTCACATTTAGAATGACTTCCTCAGGGAAGACGACAGTCTTGATGTATTCAAACTCTTCGAGTCTTGTGAGAATCTCTTTCATCGGTTTGGACTGAGATTTTTTGGCCATGGCACAAATGCCAACCAGAACTTGCTTCCCTGAAGCAGGGCTTTCATCTTCCGAATCTGCATGTTCGGTATCCTGAAGAGCAAACAAGCGCGTATCAAGTGCACCAATATTTCTTGTTGTTCCAGGCAGCGCAACAGAAAACGCTTCACATCACTATGATAAAGTATACTGACAGCCACAATGAAAGTACACATGAAAATACAGATACTATTTTTCTCCCTAAAACTCTGTGCTGCTCAATAATAAATGTGCTCCGTGATTCCCATAGAAATGTGTGCATAAGCCTTCAGAGCTTATGCACACACATTTTCTCTTAACATAAACTTAAAGTTTAAGTGCGCAACAGGTGAATCATAATGGAAATTTTGAATATGCACTTAGGCAAACGCTTTTTAAAAATTGGCAGTGGTATCTTAATAATTTTCTGGACTGGGATTGCCCAACAAGCAGTGTCCATTCCCGCTTCGCTTGAATATGATTTGAGCATAACTTGTTTTTCCTGTTTGATATGCATCACATTGCTGATAGAGCAGCCATAACTCCCCTTCAGATAAGAAAAGAAGTCAGAACTAAATGCATAAAAGGTAAAAGGCAGTTATCAGGGCATGCACACTGCTCTAAGCCATAATATGAAAGCATTATTTTTATATAAAAGTTCATTACACAAACAATAATAGGCAGTCAAAGTACACTGCTGAAGTAAATGAAACGCAGCCTAAAGGAACCTAAACAAACCCGCATACGCACACGTACAAAATGAAAAGATACTTGAACTACATCTACAAACCAACACCAATTAAAGAAATGTAAAGCCAATGCGATCCCATATTCATGCCAATCAGTATACTGGGCGCTACAGGAGGTATGTGTGACCTGTGAATCAAATGTGTTCTACCACAGGGGTCTTATCTCACAATTGTCTGGAAGCTGCACAAGGCGCACTGTGACAAAACACATCATGCTATCACAATGAGAACCAATGCGATGCAATGTGATTAGAGTCTCACATCATAGGCTAGAGAAAGGTGTATTACCCAAGAAATAGTACCCAAGAAAGTACTCATCATGCATCACAAATCCTACACACTAAAACATTCTCTAAACAGCAACACTACTTTGGGGATCTCTCAGTATTATCAATGTATTCTAAGCAGGCAGGCACCTGAATCTTGCGTCCAACAACCACACAGAAGAGTTGCTAAAGAAGGTTTCAAAGGAACTAAAAGTTTGTTTAATCTGCACTTTTGGCTAATGTGAAGCAGTACAAACTACTATGTGAATAACATTTACTTTACATTAGAATTAAGGTATTTCTGACATTGTTCCCATGTATTTAGGGAACAATAACACACTGAAGATTTAAACAATACACTCATTCAACCTTCGAAGCATTGTGGCTCTCTTTGACTTGGTACATGAATAATTTCTGACAATGTTCCCATGTATTTAGGGAACAATAACACACTGAAGATTTAAACAATACACTCATTCAACCTTCGAAGCATTGTGGCTCTCTTTGACTTGGTACATGAATAAGCCTGATATTTAGCATGATCCTTTATTCCATAGAGGCAAGGATTAGAGTTCTGCACTCAAAACATATGTGCACAAAACTGGCCATGTGCGATTAAAACATACTTTTATTTATACATTGTTTGTGAATATTAGAAATTGTGAAATATTGTTCCATGCCTTTTTTGCCTGCTTCTTGCAATAGTGTTCCATTTGATTTTGTGCACCTTGCTGTTGCATTTTTATGCAAGTCTCTGCTAAATTTGGGATACATATTATTGTCATAAGCCTTATGTTGTAGCTTCATTTTGTAGGCACAGCTTTTTCTCCATGCCCCACACTGAATTCTGTTTATCCAAGAGTCCAGTGCAAGCGTTGGATGTTGCGGAGAGCACTAAAGTAAGAATCTAACACAGCATAAATTAGAAGTTTGCAATGTGAACACTGCCATCTTTTTCAGTTAAGGCTTGTCAGCATATGTAAAAAAAGATGTGTCGCATAAGCCTTAACCTGAATGGCAATGCATTTTGCTTTGAATCTTTAAAACACATATCTCAAAAATAGTGTCATGTACAGACCACCTTGCAAAAAAGGCGATTAGCATTGCTGAAGGTTAGGGAGGTTTCTAAGCAAAAATTCTAATACGATTACGAGACATGCCATAGCAGAGGACCTTGAATTTTAACCATTCTGGCTTCTATTTTTTACCGAACTCCACGTGCACAAGTATTTTTACATCTCATTAGAATTGAAATGCAAGTGCTGTGGTTGGGTGCCAAGCCCCCGCATTCGTGCAGCTTCAACATTACACTTGGACGTCCCGTGATATTAGTAAAGAATTGATGAACCACAGTAAGCAGCTAACATGTACATCCTATTTGTAACTGCCACAGATAACGCACTGCAATAAATGTACTATAAAATTTCTGGTACTCTGTAGTCTACCGGAGCCTTCAATCAAGCATCCCCTTCCACATTTCATATGTGAAGCTGTGCCGAGTGATCTGTGCTTATCTTCACTACAGCTGTGCACTCACGTGCCTGTATGTCTTCTTGATGTTGAATGTTGTCAAAAATACATTATACATTGCAGACGTTTCCCTCCTTAGCGACAGTCATACTTGTACCACTCGTATACAGTACAAGAACCGGAATAACACTATGAGGACAGGGCTTTTCTATTTGTTAATACTTCTAGTCTAAGATGGTATTGCGGGGAATGTTGTGAACATTCGTAAGTCGAAGGTGCACATTCTTATAGCAGTCTGTATACCATATCAGCTCAGTGGGCAAGCAGCCTTCGCTGCCCGATCATCAAGTAGACAAGTAAGCAAGAGATGCCTAAAGGATCTGAAAGAAAACAGTACTTTAGTTTCTAATCATGCTAGGTAAACAAAAGTTTTAAAGAAAACTCAGTTGAATCTGATGACATCGCTATCAATGCAAAAAAAAAAAAACACCATAGAAAGCCCAAATAGCTCACAGCGAGAGAGGTGATGAATGCAGTGAAAAAGCAAGTGCGTCAAAGATACAAAGCAAGTGAATGCTGCTTAGCTGTAATTTTATTATGTCAAAGACTGCAAACCAGACACCAAAGAGAAACTCACAGTATTGTAGCTTCACCAATAAAACAAGCAAAAAAAATCTGACAATAGAAAATTTGTTCATGCAGAGGTTTCAATAAATGAGCTCAACTATAAACCAAAAATACACTGCACATGCAACTCAAAATACAGGACGTTTCAGCTCGACAAAAAAAGAAGAAAAAAAACATAACAGTGCATTACAATGTGCTCAGTGTTTCTCCCCAAGTGGGAAATGGCATTTACACTTCATGGAAGTTCACGGTGCTCCTTCAATAGCGTCCACATTGCACTGTTTTGCTCTATATATTTTAACACATGCTCAAAGTGCTTACATGCAACAAATCCACATTGCACTGTTTTGCTCTATATATTTTAACACATGCTCAAAGTGCTTACATGCAACAAATCATGCATTCACCTTTATTCATGCCCACAGTGTCATACTGAAAGCACCATGTTCAGATAAAGCGAATACTTTCTTTCCAAGCTCTCATGTTTCATCAGTGCATTTCGATGGTGCAAACGAAAATTCTGCTGTTTTTTTCCAGCCAATTAAACATTGAAGCTTTCATATACAGTAAATCTCGTTCATTCATATTTCTCAGGACCAAAAAAAAAACTGTCCGAATTAACCAAATGCCAATTTATCGAAATCATCAATAAAACGATAAACAAATGTTTACTACATGAATGTACACTAAATTTCTTGACATTATAAAAACCCTGCAGTTGAGCAAACTAACAATGCAAAAGCTGCAATTAGTAATTTGCGACACCTTTCACAGTGTAAATGTGGCTCAACTGACCCAAGTCAATCTTAAATGTGCTCCGAATCCACAGGTCATTATGTATCAACAGCGCAACTGTGGGTGGCAAACATGCCTTTCTGAAAACCCATGGCCGTTTCAGCTGGCCCTAAATGATGTTCTTGCTCCTTTGCGTAGCACTTCACGGTCGGCACATTGAGAAGATGATCCAAATCAATCAAGTTGCGGCCAAATATGACACAATCAACAAGAATTTGATGCCATTAAGCAATGCATATGCTAGCTGTGCCCAGAGAACACATCTACATTATCCGGTTTTTCTAATGAACTATCTTTTACTGTAATATCACATTAAGCTGATGGTGCCCACAAAGTGACGGCCAAGCCAGAGTGCACTTTCAATTATAATACGTAAACATGATACAAGTCTTCCCCAGACAGGCAAACAATGTGGCAGCAAATATCCCACAGTTTCTCCAAACAATATTTTCAAGAACATGAATGACCAAGAACTGGACGGGCGGATGCGCATACAAAGGAAAAAGCTGTTAAGTAGCAGAGGCCTCTGTATCTTCTTTGCCGATAGCTGCTGTACGATACATCCATATTCAGTTTAATAGCTTTTTCGTATTAGCAAATAAGAAGCAGTACGTGCTACAAGAGACTACTACTTTCAAACATGCTGCAAAAAACGTTTATGCAGAAGTACAGAAAAAACAAAGTAATATATCTTCTTTGACTCTCGTCAACATACTTCATCAAAGCTTTTATGGACAGTCATATTACACTCGGAAAATTTTCAGGCATATCAGACACCCCGCATATGAGCACTGATGATGCACATGCTGTAGGAGAGCTGCGACGTGAGAGCTAATATCATGAAGTGATGCGATAGAGTTGTGCATGTAACAAATAATACTAAATTATAGCCCAAACCCTTTTAATAAATCTAAGCTTCAATGTATCTGTCCTGTTACAGGGGCAAAATCGTATTTTAGTCAGAAGCATGCTCTTATACAGGGCACTTGATGCAATTTGTATGTATGAACACATAAAAAAATTCAATTGCAAATTTGGCTGTAATGACCTAAGAAAAAATGCAAAAACAGCAATGCCTTGTGCGTGAAACACAAACTTGTATAATGCTTTGACAGTAACATACTGGAGAAGCAAGGTGGAAATAAATGCTAAAGTGAGGTACAAAGAAATGGCCGCATCAGTACAGAACACAAAGCAAGGAAAACAAAAACGAAAAAAAAGAAGCATACATACACATCTTAATGCCCTCCAATAAGCGGCAATATCCACAGCAGGTCTGTTCCAAGGGTGAAAAATGGACACGTTTGTTGAGAGATTCAAGGGAAAGCCATAGTAAGACATTGAAGAGCTTGGGGGCAGCTGGACGCACACAGCGGCAGCAACAGGAGAACAGTCGATAAAGGAGTGAGAAACGTTTCCTGTTTCCTCAAACCATGGAGACAGCTCGTGGCACGGTTCTTGGTTTCACATAACACCAATGGGCCCGTGCGGTAGTACGTGTCCAGCCTGTGCGCTCTGCTGAAACATGTATATTGAGCTCCACACAGTATTGTGCAACTTCCTGGCAACTGTGCAATGATAAGCACATGCCCCAAAACCATATAAAGCCTTAGAACAAATTGTCCCATAGAAATGTTTAATTGAGTTCGTGCTCTTTCGTGTAATATACCGCTCAGCCATTTCACTGTTTTTTTTTGTGGCACATGAAGAAAAAAATTGGAAGGGGAAGCTAAAGAAACCACGCAAGCTGGCATTCGCAATTAAAAAGGATATTGTTTCACAGTAATCAATGCAACGCAAATGCTTACCGGGAAAGCGCTCAGGGTAGCAGCCCACAACGGTTATAGCAAGCTTTCTAACTAACTACGAAAAATCGACATGCCATGAATGATAGCGATTTTGGAAATTTTCAGTAACGTAGAAAGTAACCCACGCACGTGCTCATGCGATTGACAGAATGCATTACCTTTTCTATTTTGTTCCAGTTAATATAACCACAGTCATCACCTATGCAGAACAGTGGTTGACTTGTCAGGCCCAGATAACCTTGCTCCAATTCATTGTAAGACATTATCGGTCATCGCCTAGAAGAATATCAAAACAAACATATGTCAGCCACAGGATGCGCGACCGACTAATCCTAAAGAAAGTAAGCTGAGCGTTTGAACAGGGCTGGGGTCGTTTTCGTTTTTCATACGGCCGCCACATACCTTTCTGAAGCCTTGTAGCCAGGTAGATCCGCGCAGGAGGGTTCAGGTCATTCAGCATGGTGTCAGCTCACCATAGGAAAGTAATAGCGTTTCACACTTGAAATACGTCAGGGGGTGGTTTTCTAGTATTTCAAATACCTAACTTCAAGGACGATTACCGGCAACTCGCGGTACACGAGTACTAGGCTAGAATGAAATGACTAAATTATCTTCGTAAATAATCGATAGCTACTCGTCTCGTAACAAATGGTTGGGTGTTTGGCCGGGCTGCAGTAAGAAAGGAACTACTTTGAGGGTTACTACAACGACAGGAGAAACAAAATAACTGTGAGGAAGGACTAAGTATTTACAAGATACTGCACTAGTTGCATTACGCGACTACACCAGACATACACACACGCACACTGATGGGAAAGAAAAAAAAAGGGACGTCCTCTAGGCGATCTTTAGGCTCCCATTACAATACCAGCAGCCACCGCAATTGAGAACACTAGCGCCACTCTTTCAAAAGCGAAACCGAAACAAAAAATCGCAATCACGACCAACGCCTCCTAGATTTCTTGTGCCTGCCGGATGAGCGCGAAACACCAGTCATCTAAAGAGGCGCTGCCTACGTAGGAATAAGGGTCTTTGTACTCAGCCTTTGAGATTGGCAGTTTTGGTGTTTGCTACTAATTTCAGAGGATGCCTTGAATTAAAATAGTTGCTTGTTAAATGACGGCGTCACTTACGTAGGGTTAATTATAATTACGTTTACACCTTTTTAAAACTTTTTATGTTATTGTTGTTGCATATAAACTCCAAAATCGTAAAAACTTATTTGAAAACACTCTATAGTTGAGTGGCGCCACAACCGTAGTTCCTACGATCGCCGCTTCCCAAGTGACCGCTGATAATCCGGAAGGCACAGGAGATCTAGGAGGCCTTGTCACGACCAACTACTCCTGACATGCTCAGATATGTGGTAGTGGTGGTAGTGGTTAGAAGATAAGAAAAGGCACCTAATTTCTGCAACCCGGTCGGGAGCACGGCGCAGTGCCTGCGGGGAAGAGAAATGGGAGGAAAGTGGAAAGAAGAGAAAAACGATTATTTGAGCAGTGGCAGAAGGGTTAGAATGTACTAGAAGTGTATACTGTAGTAGGGTTCCTATGGGAGCGCGTGTCCCCGCTCTCGTTCAATCACTCACGATTGGTGGCGCTACCTATAACCTGTTTGTCTGCTGCTTTACAGTTGTCTTGACGGTGTTGGAATTAGAATGCCTGCATCTGTGGTGAACTGCAGGCATATATGTGACTATTTCTTCACTTATATTGCTGGTCAAGAAGAGAGCAGAGTGGATTAGGGAACAAACGGGGGTTAAGGATATCATAGCTGAAATCAAGAAGAAGAAATGGACATGGGCAGGGCATGTAGCGCGTAGACAGGATAACCGCTGGTCATTAAGGGTAACTGACTGGATTCCCAGAGAAGGGAAGCGGGTTAGGGGGAGACAGAAGGTTAGGTGGGCAGATGAGATTAAGAAGTTCGGGTATAAATTGGCAGCAGCAAGCACAGGACCGGGTTAACTGGCGGAACATGGGAGAGGCTTTTGTCCTGCAGTGGACGTAGTCAGGCTGATGATGATGATGATGATTGCTGGTCAAGTAAGCAGTTCAATGCGCTGAAGTATTTATAGCACACTAGTCGACAAACGGGGGAACACGTAGATTTACATGGTGTAGGACAGCCTATGTAATGTCGCGTTCATTTGATTGCAAAAAAAAGAATTCTGAATTACTTTTAATATAACTATTTCTCAATAAGTTTAAGTTTTGCGTAATAAATGCACACTGTGAGTGCTTTGTTGATCGAAATTTGATCACAACCAGTGAAGGTGACGTCAGCGAACAGGTGCTGACTAGCGCCATACCACTCGTAGGTTACGGCCCTAGCGGCAGAATGTGTGAAATAGAGCATGGGCGCTGGGGAGGGGCTCTCTGGGCAGGTCAGGAGTAGAGTAGGTCATGGTCACGATTTCTTTTGGAGCGCTTTCGGTGTTCCTTGAAAAAAAAAAAAAAAAAATGCCCCCACCGCCCCGAAGGGAATTGTGAGGAAATGCGAATGCATTTCGTAGCGTACGTAACGGCGTTTCGCGCGTGACAACCCAGCGTTAGAAAAATAGTGTTTTATTTTTTTTTTTTCCTAGACCGTTTTTGTCGCGAGAAACGTGGTATGCGTTTCCAGCACTGGTATCTAGCGTAAATGGTTAAAATATACTTTGAAGTGAGCAAAACAAACGGCGTTCTCGACTTGGCGTTGGCGTTTCACTGCGGCGTCTCAAGCATACTTTTTTGGATGCTTTTGAGAGGCGCTCAGCCAGTGAATGGTTGAGAGTGAGGCGCGAGCGGACGGGAAAGTGGGGCCCAAGGAAGAAAGCGAACGGCAAGAGAAGGAGCGGCGAAGCGCAGCACCTACCCTCTACTACAATCTCTCGCACCACTAGAGGTGTGCGCCGAGGCGGTTTTTGACGGCGGCGGCGTGGGGGTCGTCCAGAGTCGGTGGCGGCGGCGTTGTCGGCGCACGCCGGTTTTTTTCATCGGCGGCGGCGTCGGCGGCGCAGAAACCGGAAACTGAAATTCAACAGGCTCTTCCGCACAGGTTTACTGAATTAGTGGAAATTCAGGAATTTTAATCAAATAGCATAAATGACACTACACAGATGTGTCGACATCCCGATGAATGCAAGCGTTTGTAAAATAGTTTTTATTTCGCTTTCATGAAAAATAACGCGTATTTCAATCTATGTCCATGTCACTACGGTAAATGTGCAGCACTTTGCTTTTTTTTTAATTTAAGATGCATCAGTTTGTTGTTGTTGTTGTTGGCAACGTCATACTTCATGAAACCTTTTTCCATTGAACAATGAGCAAGCACTGACGCACGTTAGTCATTTCGCTTTTTCCGGATCTGATCTTACTTTTACATTGTACGCTGCACAAAAGAAGAAGCACCTCTGCTTCGAGTTTCTTATTACTCAGCAAAGTAAGCACGACCGAAATTAGTGTACAAAACATGCAGCGTATGCGGCTCATTCCACGTTGTTAGCGCAGCCGTCCTTGACTTGTGCAACGCGCTTCGCCGCGAGGAGGACTACATCATCTACGCTTAACAGAGATTAACGATTAACGATGTCTTCTCCGATCAGGCGGGTTATCGCAATGATGCATTTTCGAAGACGAGTCCATTCAATAGTGCGACGAGAGGCCGTTGCTCCTATTGGCCACTGTACCTGTCGTTTACTGTATTTTACTGCGATTACTTCACATTTAATTACTCTCTTTGCAAGCACACGTATACGGATGGGGGTAAGGATGTGACGTCCCCATAAACACGGACTGAACCCCAGCCCTTTCAAGATGTTTACGTTCATTTCTTAACCCACGCAATTAAAAACGGAAAAGAAAACCTTCGGGGTAACGAATACGCCTTCCGGAGTGGAGTTCCTGGAAGTATTCTGTCGACGGTTCTCGCTGCCCCCCCCCCCCCCCGCCAACGCAGACATCAGGACCGGGTGGCGCCTTGTTGTCTACGGACAGTGTGACAGTGTACGCGGTGGCAATGTGCGCTCGCATCCTTCAGATTTGTGGCATGGGGGAGCAGCAGAGAACCTTTTGTTGGTTCGGTGAAGGCGACCTTGCTACAGCGCCTGTGCCGGGCCCGGCTTGACTTTCCGTCAGCTTCCGTGGCTCCAGGGCTCATTACTGCGTTCTGCACGAATGGCCAACCGTGACGTTGAATGACAAAGCAGCGGCGGCTGCGGAGAATTTCAGAGGAGACACCGAGCAGCATGGAGACGTTGAGACTCGGTCTGGCCATCGGGTCATCACGTACCAGAACCGGGGCAATCGGTT